AACGGTTCTCTCGTCGCCACGGTGACTGCCACCGACCTTGACGAGGGCACCAACAAGGAAATCACCTATTCTCTAACTCAAAACCCGGCAGCCATTCTTCAGACCTTTCAGATTGATGCCCACACTGGAGAGATTCGACTCCGTGGGCCCCTGGATTTCGAAGCCATTGAAACATACGACATTGACATTCAGGCGACGGATGGAGGAGGACTCTCTGCCCACAGCAAAGTCCTGGTGGAAGTAGTGGATGTGAACGATAACCCCCCGGAAGTGATGGTCTCCTCGGTGTCCAGCCCCCTCCCTGAGGACTCCCAGCCCCAGACCGTCGTGGCCCTTTTCACTGTCCGAGACCGTGACGTGCGAGTGGGCGGGAAAATCAGCTGCTTCCTCCGAGGAGATCTCCCCTTTTCCGTCAAAGCGACATTCAGAAATTCCTACGCTCTGGTCACTGACAAAAGCTTGGACCGGGAGGAGGTTTCGGGCTATAATATCACCCTTGTGGCCACGGATACTGGACCACCGAATCTGTCCACGGAGACTGTGATCGAGGTGCTAATATCTGACATCAATGACAATCCACCAGTGTTTCAGGAAGACTCCTACATCTTGACGGTTCGGGAAAACAACAGCCCTGCGGTGTTTATTGGCAAAGTACACGCTGAAGATCTAGATTTGGGTGAGAATGCCCAAGTAACATATTCTCTGCTGCCTCCAAAAAGTGGCGATCTGTCCGTCTTCGCTTACATCTCCATTAATTCAGACAACGGGAAGCTTTATGCACTGAGAACCATGGACTATGAGGCCATCCAAGATTTTCAATTTGTAGTGAAGGCAATTGACGGGGGCTTCCTGTCACTAAGTAGCCAAGTGACTGTCAGAGTGGTTGTTCTGGATGACAATGACAATCGTCCAATGATTTTGTATCCGCTGCAGAATGGCACCTTGCCATGCAATGACCTAGTACCCAGATCGGCAGAAGCAAGCTACCTAGTGACCAAGGTGGTAGCTGTAGATGGTGACTCGGGTCAGAATTCTTGGCTCTCATACCATCTACTTAAAGCTACTGACCTTGGATTATTCTCTGTTCAGCGGCAAAATGGGGAAATCCGTACGTTGCGGCAGATAACTGAGCGAGACCCCATGATGCAGAAACTCACCATTCTTGTTCAAGATCATGGCCAACCATCTCTCTCCACTACCGCTTCCCTCAACATCCTGCTGGTGGATGGCTTTTCAGAGCCCTACTTGCAGTTCCGGGATCCATCTAAGCACCCTAAAAAAGTGAATCCATCCACCAAATATTTAGTCATTTCTCTGGCTGTGCTTTCTTTTATCTTTCTCTTCTCTGTTACAGTGATCTTCATTATACATATCTATCAGAAGATTAAATACAAAGAAAAGTTTACAGTTCAAGAGCATTTCTATGATGACTGTAATTTCCCTAACAACCTGGTACATGTGAGAGGCAATGGATCCTTATCTCAGCCTTGTTCTTATGAAATGTGCTCAGCCACTGGCACTGGTAACAGTGAGTTCCGGTTTCTGAAGCGCTTTATGCCCAATTTCCCCTTCCCACAGGGCAGTGGAGAAATAAAAAGAGAAGCTGATGCCAGTTTACCTCCAGATTCTGATAGGAACAGCTCTCGGGGCATAGAAGGCCATGCCCGGATAGCTGAAGACTATATGTAGCCCATACAAATAGCCATAAGGAGAGGAGCCCAATTTTACACTTGGTAGGTAGATATTCACCCTTCAAAGAAACATAAATGATGGTAGTGGATTTTAGCTTTGGCAGAGAGTTTTAGGCTGTCTAGTTTGGTGGAAATAGAAAACCCAGACAGAGGCATGACCTCCTTAGTACAAAAATTATCCTAATCCCTAGAGTTACCCTAATCCCTTTAAAAGAAATGCTGCCATCTCTAAGTGCCTGTGTGGCAGAAGTGGGAACTTTCGCTTCTCCAGTTTTTCTGTGCTAGGCAAGTAATGAACAATCATTTATACCTCCACTGGTGTTCCTTAGTCCTGGTCCTGGAAACGATACCTTCTATGAGGTCACCTGTTATTTTGCCTTTAAATTATTGTGCAATAGAAGGTTATGTATCATTCAGAAATTTCTAGATTTTCAGTGGTTAATTTGAGTGGAGGTTATATTTAAGCCAACACCTTGCATTTCCTTATTCATAATGGTGGGAATACCTAGTGAATGGTAGTCCACGCAGATAAGAAAGTTGAGATGAAGAATAAAGAAAGGGAAAATATGTCTACTTACTTGAAAAAGATTTATTTTAGAAATATTCCCCCAAATGAAGCTAGAAGTAGATTCTCTTAATGGTTGTTTGGGGCATTTGGACAAATCTCAGATCTCACTCCTTCATCCCTGGGTACAAGACAGCAATTATTTGAATGTGAGAAATGAAAAGTTAGTGAAGATAAAAATAAATTAGGCCTAATACAGTCACTTGAACAGGCTATGAAATAAAAAAGGTTAAATGAAAAGGAGAATACCAATTAAATGCCCTTTTGAAAAGATACACTTTCAAGAATAACCAGATTTCATTTTAATACATTTTACTTTTCCCTCTGAGAATTCTGAAAAGTAATGTCATGGAAACTGATAAAAAGAGCATTTCTTAGCAAATCATTCATAAAATGACATATCATAGGGAAACAAGTTGATTTTCTTTTTTCAGCATCTGTTTTTCTTTGTACACTATTTTAGGTTCTCTTTTTTTAAAAAAATTAAATGTTAACACATTTCAGAGCTATTAATTACTATGTGCCTCAAACTAAGAGCCCTGGTGGTATAGTGGGTTACCATTTGCTGCTGACCACAAGGTTAGTAGTTCAAAACCACCAGCCACTCTCTAGGGAAATGTAATGGCTTTCTACTCCCATACAGTTACAGTCTCAGAAAGCCACAGCGGGCAGATCTACCCTGTCCAGTAGGATCACCATGAGTCAGAATTGAGTCACTGGCCATGAGAGTCGTTGTAAAATGTGCCTTCCTAGTTAATAATATGTTTTAACAAACCTTTACTTATGCGCCTTATTTTATATGAGTATGTGTGAATTTTGGACTTAAAACGTACATCCTCTTTCTTCCTGTAAAGGAGGACACAATATCTGTTCCTAGAATTTTAAAGGTATATCAATAAATCATCTTTCTTATTAATAAAGATCTCCCATGAGTTACAATAATTCTCACTTGGAGTAAAGGATCCTCTTGCATAAAACATAAAAGTGTTCCATTGTATTTGGATTAGAATTGATCAAACGCAATGAACTCCGCCATAGAGCTAATTCTGACTCACAGCAACACTTAGGGCTCCTCCAGACTGGTGAAGGTATTGCTAAATTGAGAGACTTTAAGTGAGAAAGGACATAGAATTAACTTTTATGTATAAGTAGTAATCAGTTAATAATGTATTATTAACTGAAATCCACTGGAATCGCTGCATATTATTACACTCCAAAATTTGATTACATAGCTGTCATTGGTTAACTGTAGCTTATTATATTTTAATGGTGAGAGCATAGCCAGTGGAGCCTGACTTGATGTCCAGGATTAAAGAAAGAAAATGGTATAGATTGGTGACTTTAAGTCTTTGGTTTTCAAACAATAGCAGTATAGTTCTCTCTGTAATACATACACACTAAAGAGGTGACATGGGTTTGCCAACTCTGTATTTTTCCAAGTATGGGTATTAAAATAAAAAATACCATTTCCTACACCATCATTTCATAAAATAAATGATATCTCAATATGGTAAAAATAATAATCTCCTAAAGAAAGCTATCCTTTAAATTAAAAATACATAGTTTTATGAATTTTAATTAATTACTTTATTTTGCCATTTCCATCACCACCCCCTCATTTTTCCTTAGACATGTGAAAATTTGACCCCAGATTTGGAAACCACTGGACTAATTGATGATCCAATCTTATTCAGACTTCAAATTCCCAAGCAAGTTCCAATTTATCTGATTATTTAAAACTAAAAACACCCTTATAGAAATTTGTGGAATCTGAAGTTAGGCATTTTCATTTGAAACAAACTCTGTACACAGATGAGATTAAGTTCAGGTCTATATCACCAGGTTTTAAGATAAAGAAATGGAAATTATTGGGGCAATTGCCACACACACACACACACACAAAAGTCAAGTAACAGAAGTATTTGGATTTATGTAGTACCTGGTGGCATGGTAAGTTACAAATTGGGCTGCTAACCTCGAAGTCAGCAGTTCAAACCCATCTGGCACTCTGGGGCAGAAAGATGAGACTTTCTGCTTTTGTAAAGACTAACGCCTCAGCAATCCTATGGAGCCACTTCGGCCCTGTCCTATAGGGTCACTATGAGTCGGAATGAGCTCAATGGTAGTGACTGAAGGTAGTTCTCATACACTCTTCACTCAGCTTCTACAATGTTAACAACTTAGTAGCCCTGTCTAAAAAATGAAACTCGCTGCCATCGAGTCAATGCTGATTCATAGCGCCCCCTGTAGGTTTCTAAGACTGTAACTGTTTACAGGAGTAAAAAGCCCAGTCTTTCTCCCGCGGAGCTGCTGATGGTTTTGAACTGCTAAACATGTGGATCACAGCCGGCGCGGACACGCTGCACCACCAGGGCTACTTATATAACTGTGTGGTTATCAAAATTAAGACATACGTGATCCTTGGCATCATTCTATTAACTAAATTACAAACTTTATTCAAATTTCACCAATTGTTCATCTACAATCCTTTTTTATGTTCTAAGACATGATCCAGTATCCAGCACCCGTGACAGTTCTTTAATCTATCTCTTGTGAGGTGCTCCAGTGGTGTAGTGGTTATGCGTTGAGCTGCGGTCCACATCATCAGTTTGAAACCACCAGCAGCTCTGCAGGAGAAAGACTGGGCTTTCTACTCCCATAAACAGTGGGAGTCTTGAAAACCCACAGTGGGGCACTACGAGTCAGCATTGACTTAATGGCAGTGAGTTTCGTTTTTAGAGTCTATCAAGCACTGGACCTTGAGACTTTAGAAGGATGTCAGTTATTTTGTAGAACGCCCTTCATTTGGGATTACCTTTGTTTTCTGAGCGTTAAACTGAAGTTATATATTGTTGGGAGGAAGATCATAGAAGTTAGCTGTTCCTTCTCATTGCATCACGTCGGAGGGGTACATGCTATCAATATGTTGTATCCCTTTGTTAAAATAATGTCTGCCAAATTTGTCCACCATAAGATTCTTTTTGCCTTAATTATTAATAATTAATTCTCTTTGCCTTTATTATTAATAATTACTTTGGAATCGATACTTTGAAACTATGCAAATGTTATATTTCTACTTAAGCTTTGACTACTAATTTTAGCATTCATTTCTGGATATTTCACAATAACAATTGTCATTGTGAATTTCTAATGGTGTTTGTTCTATTTCTCTTGTTTCTTTTACTTTTATTATTCAGAATTCCTCTGTAAGGAAAATTGATTGTTTCTCATTTATTTATATATTCAATTGATTACTTATATATGGGTTCATAGATACAATAATTAATTTTGTTGCTCATCAAGAGCTCTTATCTGAGATGGATAGGTTTTTGAGACTGAAATTATTCACATAGAACAATAGAACACATTTTTATCGAATTAACATTTGTTTGTAACCATACGTGCTAGATTATAAATATGTTTATTTAATTTTTTCAAGGTTAATTCATAATGAAGACTTCAATTTAAGTAAAAATTATACTCAATTTTTATTTCAACTAGTTATAGAATTATAAAATGTATATTAAAATAGGAAATTTAAACTTTCGTTATGTAGAATGTTTATATATTTGTAAACTATAAAATATATCATTAAAATAGATTTATATGCTACAATTAGACATAGAGACATATAATAAATGAAATTGTCTGTCTGATTTTATGTATGTCTTCCTAAAATTAAGTAAATGCAATACTTTCTGTCATGTCTGAGTCTTTTTTGTGTTCCATTTAAAGATTTATCTATTTTCTGAGAACAGAATTTACTCATATTATTCCCCCATATCAAGATCTATTTTCTGTAGAGTTCAATATGATCAAAATATGTGATTGATCCATCACCTAATCTTCAACCAAAAGTGTTGCTTCATTGCCAAATAAATGTAAAATTTATATTAAATTAAAAAATACATTATAACTAGGGTTCTAGTTCATACATGTATGAGTCTATTCCAAACAAAATGTATTAAACATTTCTCTACAATCTGTGGATTACTGCAGAGATGTTTTCTCAGTAACACACTTGCCCTACCCTGATTAAAGTGCTTTCAAAATGATTTATCAAAAAGATTGATACTTTTCATCACATGGAATAAAACAATTTTGAGGTCAGGGCTAATGTAAAATTATTAACAAAACCCAAGTAGACATCTTCTGAAATCACTGAAACTTTACAACAAGTTTACAGGCATGCTGATCCAGTTTTAGATGGAGCAAGCATATTAAAGATTAAAAATATCTCAAAAAAGAATTCAAGGCAAAGAGGTCAACTCAGATTATGACTGTTTGGGGGACCCGAAGATGTTATCTTGACAGATTTTCTTAAAAGACACAAAAAAAGTCATATTGAGTAGGGGAGGCGGGGGAAAGGAAGAGGGTGTTAACAGGCCCAGGGACAAATAACAAGTGATCCAAAATCAGTGTCAAGGAGAATGTGGCAGGG